ACCAAAAATTTAATATACTGCAGCTTTGCAATCATTAGATGTGGCAAGTGCATTAGTTTCCTTTTTTAGGATTTTCTTCCTCAACTAGTAACACATCTTCTGTATTAAAGTTCCTCCACTCTGTATGGATTTCAAACAGGGCCAGATCTAGCCTGTCTGATCTTGGGGGTGCAGTAAAAATGTCAGGGGGCCATAATGTCAACACACTGTCATTTTATCCTCTTCTCTCTTAGTTCCCTACCTCTCCCTGTGGCTGCAATGGAAAGCTCATGTACTAGACCTGTATTTCTCAACCTTTTTTTTATATTATTCATGGCACCCTTCAAAAGTATCCAAAATCCTGAGACACCTCAGTCCTGAACTGTATTTGTTGGGCTTAAGGACATCTGTACTGGATGCTGATATCACTCACTTCTTGGTGCCCCATAGGGGAGTTCTGCCATCACATCAGATTCCATCCATCACTTCAGACTCAGCCACCATTACATCACAGTCACTCCAATACATTGCCTCCTTTAACAACTTCCTGTCCGGCCCATGTACATAAACGGCCAGTCAGGAGCAGTGCAGGAGCGGGTGGCCGTATATAAACGTCCTCCCGCTTCCCTGCCTGTGCGCACTCCATGGGAGTGCGCGACACTGAAATTCAGTGGCATCTGTGTCCCAGTCGCTGTACGGGATCTGTACGGGATGAGGCCCCCGATCATGTGATCACTGATTGGCCAATTAGTGATCACATGAATAGTAGTAAGCAAGATGTCACTTCTGACATCATTGCTTACTACATGTGAAATCTGTGATGGTCACATGATACAAGGCTATTCACAACAGCCTTGTGCCATGTGACAAGCTCTGACCAATCACAGCTCACACAGTATTTCTCAGTGGCTGCAAGAATGCAGCCAGAGGGAACGAGAAATGATTGCTTTTACAGCCTTTATGGGTTTAAAAGCAATCAGTGTAAAAAAGAAAAAAAAAATCTTCATCACCCCCCACAAGTAGTACTGGGTCACTATGGTGACACTGTACTGCTAGGGTGACAGTATGTAAAAAAAAATACACCAAAAAACCTATAAATAATAATATAACAATATTAAATAAAAATGTAAAAATAATTTTAGAGATATTATAATTTTTGGTTCTAAACTAATTTGAGCTATTTCTTTTTACTAAAAAGATAGCTGAATACATTTTGATCAAAATTTATGAAGAAAGATTATTTATTTGCAAAATTTTATAAGAAAAACACTTTTTTTCGAAATGTTTGGGCTTTTTCATTTATATAGAAAAAAAATAAAAATCCCAGTGGTGAATAAATACCACTAAAATAAAGATTTATCTGTCTCAAAAAAATGCTAAAAAATTCATATGGGTACAGTGTTGCATGACCATGCAAAGTGTGATAGCACTGAAAGCTGAAAATTGGCCTGGACAGGAAGAGGATGAAAGTGTCCAGACTTGAAGTGGTTAAATCATAGTCCTATCCTATCAGAAACCCCTCCTTCCCACTGGAGCCCCACCCATCACAACAGAGTACTCTCATTATAACAGAGTCCCCTACATCACAACATAGTCCCCCAGAAGAGCAAAGAGAAAGAGAGAGGGAGTGGGGGGGGGGGGGGGGAGGCAAGAAATACGGAGAAAGGGTGGGTGAGAGAGAGAGATTTAGAAGAATAGGAGAGAGAGATGGAGTGAAGAAAGACAGAGAGGTGAAAAAAGGTGGGGGGCAGAGAGAGGGGGTGAGAGGGAGGAGGGGGGGAGAGAGAGGGCAGGGAGGAGAGAGGGAGGAAGGAAAGAGATTGGCAGAGCAAAGGGGAGAGGGAGGAGGGGGGAGAGAGATTGGGGGAGAGAGACTTTGCACAGAGGGATGTACAGAGGTCACTTCCAGTGGCATGTACACAGTGGTGGAAAACTTCCATAGGACTCAACAGTCCTGCTTTTTAAAACCATGTGGTTGTGCTGTTGTTTACTACTCCCCCTTTAGGGTACATTTATACCAGACGCAGTGGAACTGTGTTGGGTGACTATTCCAGCACAATTCCTCCACATGACAATGCAAAATGCTTCATCCCTGGTATGTCTGGTTCAGTGGTGCTGCATGCAGAACTTTTTTTCAGCACAGTGCAGTATAAAGCTGTCTACTACCTCATACTATGTGGCCAGTTGAACTTAATGAAATACCTGTGTGACGTATCAATAAAGTTTGTTTAAAAAAATCCCAGTACAATGCGCACGGTGCATCCACACTGAGCTGATACTGTAAGCCGTGTACCGGGGTGGGCTCCCCAGGATACAGTGAAGTCACGAATGAGGAAAGCAACCCCAACACCAGCTTTTGCCACAACAAAATTTTACTTAGATGTGGCAAATAAACACAACCACAAATGCTGAGAACATACAATAAATTTACATACACCCAGCCCAAAGGCTGAGACCCTTGCACTGCACAGCACGGCGCCTCCTGATGGATGAAGGTAGAAGGTGTAGTAATTTACCTACTGGCGGGCACAACTAAGCTGCCACACCTTACCTGTTATTACCCTAAGAGAGCAGGAATCAGTGTATGGGTGTATGGTATGGGCTAACCTGCGGTGCAGCACAACAGCTTACAATCTTACACAAATCTACAGTATTCCCTCTCCCATAACTGGTCCTGTAGCACGTGCCTGAGTATTCCTTCTGAGCAAAACGCCAGTCTGGCTTGAGTTTGTAGGATTTTATCAGCTCTCCAATGTGAAATGTCACTTTAAGTTGTGGAGTTCTTCCAATAATCAGTAACACTTGTGGCCTGACACAAACAGAGACCCTAACTAACTAACTATAGGCCTGGACTCAGTCTCAAGGTGCCAACACTGAAATGAGGTGCGTGCACGATCTTACCGACCCGTGTCTGCTTTCCATCCGCTGGTGACTCTGAACAGAACAAATGTCTCTCCAACAAGCTTGCAATATTGCAGTGTATGCTGCGTTGTTCCTCTTCACTCATCAGCATTACGGGCAGCAATCTTCCTTCCTCTGAACAGGATCAGGGTCTTGGACACGATCAGCTTCACTTAGCTGCAGCTCTGGTTACCGAGGGAAGCTCCCACACCTGGATGTCATCGGATTCTCAGCTCACACAGCCCCTTCGTTCAGCACCGTTCAAAACATGATTGCAGTCTCCTCTTCCTGTTCACTCCAACTCTGTGTGAAAACTCCACCTCTTCATGAATATACAAATATCTATACAGTCTGAGGCTGTGTTAGAAAAACAGTGACATCTTGTGGCTAAACCACAGAATGTCAGTCAAAACATTAATTTACTTCCACTCATCCAGTGTTCAAACAATGAGAGCTGTTTCCCCATCTCACAATACCACACATCACACCAGCTGATGTGTTGTAATGCAGCGACTGATGTTAATTGACACTTACCTGACAAGGCAGCAGCCAGGGGTGTATACATGCTGCTGCTACAATGCCTTTCTTTGCCGCTACGGCAAGAATTATACCCCGTTATACTTGGCAGGCATTATCGATCTCCAAACACAACCCATTCCAAAAACATACAATGCACGAGGTTGTGGTGGGGTGGTGCAGCATTTAGAGTGTTAAAACAGGTGATGAGGAGGCAATGTATTTCCTCCTCACTGTCTGTCAAATGCCTCTGAAAGGTAATCTCTGAGTTGATTGCTTTTCAAAGGAGCAGCAGACGTTTTCAGTCAGAACAGCAGAGTGAGGGACATCTTCAAATGCCAAAATGGATGTGAAGGGGGGGGGGGGGGTCAGTATGCTGGGCCAACTGATCTGGGCTTTATGGCAGATTGGCTAGATGGAATTCTCTACACATGAAACCCCTTGGAGTTTGCAAAAATCACTGGAAGGAGTTCAGGATCAGACTGGTCTGATGAAACGAAGATTGAACTCTTTGGCCTCAATTCTAAACATTATGCTGGAAGGAAGACAGGCGCCGCTCATCACCTGCCCAATACCATCCCAATAGTGCAGCATGGTGGTGGCAGCATCATGCTGTGGGAGTGTGTTTAGCTTCAGGGACTGGGAGACTGGTCAGGGTTGAGGGAAAGCTGAATGGAGCAAAGTACAGAGATATCCTCAATTAAAATATTTTCCACAGCACTCAGAACCTCAGAGTGGGTCGAAAGTTCACCTTTCAACATGACAAGGATCCTGTATACAGCCAAGACAACACACAAGTGGTTTAGGGACATCTCTGTGAATGTCCTATGTTGGCCAAGTCAGAGCCCTGACTTGAACCTTATTGAACATCTCTGGGGAGGCCTGAAAATGGCTGTCCATCAAGAGTCCCCATCCAACCTGACTGAGCTTGAGAGGATTTGCAAAGAAGAATAGCAGAAACACCCCCAATCTAGGTGTGCAAAGCTTGTTGCATAATGCACAAAAAGACCTGAGGCTGTAATTGCTACCAAAGAATCTTCAACAAAGTACAGATTATAGGGTTTGAATACTTAAGTACATGTGATATTTCAGTTTTTGCTTTTTAATAAATTCACAGACATTTCCAAAATTCTGTTTTTACTTTGTCATTATGGGGTACTGAGTGTAGATTAATGAGAAGAAAATTAATTTAACCACCTTCCGCCCACCATATAGTACAATGACAGGCACAAGGTGGTTCTCTCATTCTGATAGGATGTCATATGATGTCCTTCCATTCTCACCGCACATGCGCGGCTCAGGGAGCGCGCAGCGTGGCGATCGCAGGTGCGCTGTGTCCCTCGGACACAGCGGATCACGGAAAGAGCCAAAGATGTCGGCTCAGTCATGTGATCAACTGTGTCCAATCACAGCTGATCACATGTAAACACGGAAATGCCGGTTATCGGCATTTCTCTCCTCTCGAGCTGTCACGCTGACAGCTTGAGAGGAGAGGCGAGCCGGTAATCGGCTTTCCGCGGAGGGGACTTGTACACTGATCATCAGGGCACTGATGATCAGTGTGCCCTGATGATCAGTGTGGCCCCAGAAGTGCCACCTGTCAGTGTCCATCAGTGCCAGCAGTCAGTGCTCATCAGTGCCACGTGCCAGTGCCCATCAGTGCCATATCAATGCCACATATCAGTGCCCATCTGACCAACCTTTCAATGTCACCTATCAGTGCCAGTCAGTGCCACCTATCAATGCCAATCAGTGCCACCTATCAGTGCTGCCAATCAGTGCCACCTAGCAGTGCCAGTCAGTGTCGCCTATCAGTGCGCATCAGTGTCACCTATCAGTGCCAGTCAGTGCCGCCTATCAGTGCCAGTCAGTGCCGCTTAACAGTGCCAGTCAGTGCCACCTATCAGTGCCAGTCAGTGCTGCCTATCAGTGCCAAATATCAGTGCCATATATCAGTGTCATGTATCAGGGCTGCCTTTCAGTGCCCATCAGTGATGCCTGTCAATGCCCATCAGTGCAACCTACCAGTGCCTCCTCATCAGTGCCTATCAGTGCCACCTATCAGTGCCCATCACTGCAGCCTCATTAGCGCACATCAGTGAAGGAGAAAAATCACTTATTTACAAAACTGTATAACAAAAACGAAGAAAAAACTTTTTTTTTCAAAATTTTTAGTGGTTTTTGGTTTGTTTAAGAAAAAATAAAAATCCCAGAGGCGATTAATTACCACCAAAAGAAAGCTCTATCTGTCTCAAAAAAATGATAACAATTTCATATGGGTACAATGTTGCATGACCGCGCAATTGTCATTCAAAGTGCGACAGCGCTGAAAGCTGGAAATTGGCCTGGGCAGGAAGGGGGTATAAGTGCCCTGTAGGCTAGTGGTAAACTACTGTAGTTTCAGGCTGCAACATTTCAAAATTGAAAAAACAGAAGGGGGGTCTGAATAAATGATGAATGCATTGTAGCTATTTCGGAATGAGAAAGCAGATAGATTGCATCCAAAAATATTCAAATAAACTGTATCTTTTTCTCAGATGCTATATAATATTGTATAGATTTGTATAGATTTAAATCTTTTTAATGGAAGACAATTTCAGAGGAAGAGAGTAGGCATATTTCAGCCAGAATTATTCAATTACACTATATTCTTTCTGCAACACTATATAAAAATTGTATAGGTTTGCTGCACAGATCTCATCTGTTTTAATAGGGAATTCCAGGAGAGAGCAGGCATATTTTGGCCATAAATATTAACTTACACTGAATGTTTTCTGAGATGGAATATAAAAATTGTTGATATTTGCTGCACAGACTCACATCCTTTTTAATAGGAGGTAATTGCACAGGGAGAGAGAAGATAGACTCCATCTGTATTTGAAAATTGAAATTGTATTCTTCCTGTGTCAAAGGAGCAAAACTCTAGATCAAGGCAATGCACTCAAGAAAGCCAGACAGTTTGATATACACAGCATAATGTAGCCTACATCAAAGCAAAACAAATGCTTACTGATGAGCAGTATGTGTATATATTAATTGTCCTTTTTAATGCTGATGCAACATATTGAAACACAAACACTGATTGCCAGTGCAGGATGTACCCTACAGAAAAAAAAAAATGGTTAATTTTTAGATCTGGGGAACAGATATATTTTATGCAACAATGAAACAGATTTTTGAAAGACTGCCAAATTAAACTGCCATTGGAACGGACTACAGCAATGGGGCCAGTATAAGTTAATGGTGGTAGATTTACACTGGTGGCAGGAGATGGTTACATTGTCAGTCCAGCAGCAGTAGAAGGAGGTATTATTGGTGGCAGGATGTGTTCTTGGGGATAGAAGATGACAATGGTGGCAGGAGGTAGTATTTGTTTCAGGCCACTTGTTCAGGACTGTTCATTTCTACAAAGGTTAGTCAGTCAACTATGTCTAGGGAAAGATGGACTATTTTTCTGTAACAATGCCCCCCACTGTGCATTTACATTCATAAAGCACACTGGCTGTAGAGCAACCCAGAAGTTCAACTGCATTGCCTAGTGGTCCATTGTTGTCACTCAGTAGACAATAGGGTCATCTGTTTTGATGGTGTAAACATTAACCTTTGACCCCATATAATCTGCTACCATATAATTTGGGTGCTGCCTAAATCTTCCAGTAGCAGACAGTTTTGGGCTTTGTGTACTGAAGAATGACTTGAATGACTTGAAATCTTTGCTTAGGCAGCCACTGCCACCTCTGCTTCTCCATTCATTGACAGGAGGTTCTATGACACATTGGCAGTTAAAGTGTATACTGAGAGTCTCTGGAAAGAAGGTTAACAGGTTCCTCTGAAACACATCCTTCAGGTTTTTCATATTTTGCGCCTTATATGAATGCAAGATGAGCTTTGTGACTTTCCCCTTTATATCTTGGATCCAAGAGGATGGTCAGCCTCCTCAAATAGTGACAATATGATACACGTGTCTAAAATGTGGGTCCACTGACATGGTGAAAAAAAAACCTCTTGCGCGGTTACACCTTTATGACCTGCTAATGCATGTGTAATGCATGTGTAGCTGCTGCACATGGAGTTGGAGGTTATTGATTTGTCAATGCAATGTCCAAAGGTTTCAAGATATGGGCTTGCACCACCAGCTCCAGTGGTGTGCCCTGTGTTTTATGCATCTCAACCACCAGCAAAGTTACAAAGTGGACTGTGAACAAGATTAACATCCATTCACATGCTTTCTCTACCACATGTGATGAGGGGCATGTTGACCCTACAGCTGACTGCGTAGACTAGTGACATGGAAACATGATGTTGGAGGGCAACGATGGTCCTCTGAGTGAAAAATAGGTGTTTGGGAACTTGCCACTGTGGTACAGCACAGGCCACAAAGCCACAGAAGTTGGCTCACCCCACTGCCTAGAAAAAGTGCAGCTGTAAAGCCAACAATTTTTCCAAATTGGCATTGAGATGCAGGGCATAGGGGTGGATGGGTGCAGCAGCAGGAGAAGAGTCAGCTTCCTGTTCAATTGAGCTGGAGATGGCAGGATAGGGTTTTCAGTATGAGAGTGAGATGCTGCTTCATGGGTGCAAGTTGTTGCAGCCTATGCTTACCTCTACTCTGTGTGGATAATCATGCTGATTATCTTTCCCACTGCAAATGCCATAAGATAAGCCTAGGGAATCTTGTGTAGTGGGGGGAGAGGTAGAAAAGAAGGAGCAGGAAGGAGTAATGTGGCCCTTTTGTTGCTGACTGGTTGCTCTGCTGCCACCAAGCTCTGTGGTGAGTAGTCATATGTCTTTTCATACATGGGGTGCCCAAAAGATAGATTGAATTACTGTGTTTGAGATGCTGTTGGCAGATACTGCAAATGGCTACACACAGCAGAGGTATGCCATTTGTTGGAATAGGCTGGCTGCTCCGTCCACTCCTCTGTGAGCTGCCCCTGGATGACATCCTACTTACCCTGCCTGGGCAAGGCAAACACCAACTGAGCAATACAATTGACATGTCAGGATGAAAGCAATAGCTTTATGGCCATCATTCACTGTAAATTCTAAACTGATGACCTGTAAAGGCTTTTAAATCTTCGCTTATGAACAATTTTAAAATTTTAGGTACATCTTTTTTTGCCATTCATTTTAGTGAATTTTTTTGCTAAAAATATAGATTAGATAAACAGTTATGCAAATATGCAACATGGTGCTTATTGTCATTTTGGCATAATTCTGAACAGTGAAAATATAAGTGCATACCCTATCCACTAACCCTCCTATCGTCACTGTCACGATCGCAAGATCGCAGCCACCAACAGGCGACAATCCCACGACTGCTGCCACCAAATATGTCACGATCGCAGTGTTAGACCCCAGCCCTCCTCACCAAACTTGTGACCGAAGGACTGGCCGATCCAAACCGCGATGTGACATGCGTAACAATGCCACGCCCAGCTACACCCTGCACAATGATTTTCCAGCTAATTGGACACAATCTATGTACAGGCAGCCTGGGAGCGATTGTTACTGGGTCAGGTTAATTATGCAATTAACCCCTTTTACACTGCCACCACCTCCTTTTTGTACAGAGAAAGAGGAAACCCGCGTTATCAGTTATAACACTATAATGATTGAAATAATCGTCTGTATAAAACGGTCCGCCGGCCAGTTATACAGAGGTTTAAACCAACAGTAGCGTCTCTTCAAAAGGCAGGAATTTGTAAATTGCAATTAAGGGCTATAGAAACAGTTCAACACTTTCAGAAAGGAAGATTTATTACTAAAAGGGTCAAACAGGTGCAATAAAAATATTTACAGAGAAGATGTAATTAAGATATATATATATAAATATACAGAACAATACAGCACAGCAACAGATAACAGAAGGCAGTTTAGGTAAGTAAGTACTTGCCAAATAAATGTCTGGGGTTAAGCAGTTTCAAGTCTGATGAGCTAAAGAAGGGACTTCTGGTCTTGTAATTAGTTGTGATGGTCCAACAAGACTCTTGGTCAGCTAGATGGTACAGAGCCGACAGACTTCACTTTTCTGACCCCTCACAAAACTAACTGCTCCTTTTTCTACCCAAAAATCAATTGGTATCTTCTTACAACAGCAAGCTTATTGCCTTTTTTGGGAAAAGGATGGCATAGACAGCCCCCTAGCAAGGTACACTGAACGCATTCCTGAGGGAGGGGGGATTTGGAGTTTGAGAAAAAAAAACTAAATGCAGAGGTTTAGGAGCAAAATGAAGGACCGCGCCCATCTCTGTGTGCATGATTGTGACAGTCACCATCCACCACCCCTTTCTTCATTGTTTTTTTTTTTTTTTCTCCCTCTTGCTTTTTCACCAACTTATGTCTTTTTTTAATCACTTTTACCCTTTCTCCTTCTACAATCTCTCTTTTCTACATACTATATAAAAGCTAATATAGAATAGGATGTTTTCAGACATACTGAGAAGTAAAAATCAATTATAATACAATTACATACACAATTATATATATATATATTCTGACTGATAACATGAATAATATGTACCTCATGATCCATCTTCTTCTCTGGGTTTATTGCTGAAATGAACTTTGTACCATCACTCTATGTTTATAATCTGTGTATATGCATGGTTAATAAAGAATTAAGAAAAATGATAAAGTTACCTAAATCCATTACAGCTTTCTTCTAAACAAATGTGTTTTTCTATATTATCATTTTTATAACCATTGCTGAGATTACACATTCAGTTCATTCACTGTAAAATGTTCACATTTTCAGCAATGTAATAGCAACCGTTCTCTTCTAACATTTACACCAGGAAAGAGCTACACTTCTTTTAAAGAGGATCTCTGTCAGGCTTTCCTAAAATACAATACAGTTGCAGCATAATAACTTTAACCACCCAAAAAACAGAACACATTAGAATGACTAGGCTGTTGTTAGCATATCTCTATCACTCTAGTAAGTTATTCCTGTTACTACAGAAATATACAGTATTTGTAGTGGGCTTTCACTCCATGAGAAAATGGGATTTCTCTATCCTGTAGTTTTCTGAGAAGCCTTAAAGAAAAA